ATAGACCACTAACCATAAATGCAATGTAGAGCCAAGTCAAACCCTTCATAATTGAAAACACAGTGTCAAAATTTAAAAAAAAAAAAAAATATAAAATAAAATCAAAAGAAATCCCCCTGGAGATGGATTGAGGCAATCTGTAGAAAATGGGAAGCATTATTCTTGAAGGTGGCTAAGAAGGATGGCTAAAAGATGCAGAGTGGGATTTAAGGAAAGAGATGCATAAGGACTAGAGGGTGTTCTTCCTTACACCACCATTACCTACAAAGTCAAAAATCAAATATGAAAGAATTCTACCAGTCTTATGCTAAAGCAAATTAAGCAAAGTTACAGTTTTAGAGTTATGAAATAGAGAAGTGTTGCTTGAAGACAGACATAAAACTCTGATCTCCATATTATCCAGTCATATGAAAGTTTAAGGGAAAAAAATCCAAGTAATTTTAAGAAAGTTTATAATGTTGTGAACAGGATTGCTGATGACAGTTGTCTACGAAACCCGATCTGCTGATATCACAGTCTGTCCATGCAAGAGTTATTTTCATTAGCATATTAATTTCAAGCACTCAAAGTTCAAGGCAATCACTGAACTTCTATAAAACTTGCGAGATTTAAACAATCCAAATAGTTTTCTCAATTTTGCCTCATACGTACATAAAGATCCCATATGTATGAGCTGTGTATTTATTCACTTTTGAAGATGTGCCTGTAAATTCCTAGTCAGGAAAAAATGGGAAATGAGCTTACAAAATCCTTACCATGTTGAAGAGCTGTATTTCCAAGTACAAAGCTTGCTTTTCAGAAAAATGCTTCATTAAAATCAGTGTGCTGTTCCATCACAGACGAAAGAAATGGACAAACACCCCTTTACAAAAGTTAGCAATTTAGCCTTCAACACACGATCTAGAAGAACAATAAAACCTATTCTGCAGTACCTGCAATGCTCTCTCAGACAAAGGCGCCATCTTCAACCAAAAAAGGACCCGGCATAAAATATTACCATTCAATAAAAAATCATTATTTGGTCCCTTAAGTAGCCCCTGAAGTAGAAGGCTGTGGTGAAAATTTATCAGGCATTTTCCTCCAAATGGAATATATGCTTCAGTACCCTAAGAGGTCCATAGTACATCAAATTTTAACGGAATTGTTAATGTCTTTCTAGGTTTTATAATACCACAAAGAGATACTCATCATGTGCTTTCACCACAGCAGATAAATGCTAATGCCTGTAGTACACAACACTTTCATAGTGGGTTTGAACACAAGCTATCTTCTACTCTCTTGGTGGGCAAATTAATGGGATCAATAAATTTTGTAGTATCTCCAGATAACACTCTTTACCTTCACAAACGTGATCAGTAAATTCACAGTGTGCAGAAGGGACCACAAACAACTTATGTGGATTCCCTGAAAGGTTAGGCTGCTCTGAGAAATGTAAAATGTCAAAGGCCTGGCAATTTTCATACGTGAACCCGCGCCTTGATGTGGGAAAGCTTTGTGGAAGATCCTAAAGGTCAGATGTGAGGGTCTCCCCTTATCAACAAGGTCATGTGTTAAGTTAAACTGAAACTAAGAGCAGTGTACTACCTGGAACAACAAGCACTACTCTGATTACAGTAAATATATTTTTTAAAGGGCAAGACATTTTAAAAGTGATGTTTTAAAGTGTATTTATCAGAATAAAGAAATATGTAAATTAAATAAGTTTTTCTCGAGGAAATTTCCATAAATATTTTTAGTGTCATGAAAGTTAAAGCTACTTCAAAAAAATGTCTAGTAATAACTAATTATCTATAGTTCCCTCTGACTGGAAAAATAATAATTTCACTAGAGATGTACAAACCCACATAGCTTTTCTGCCTATTTTGAACTGGTAAACTATGTATTTACTTTCATTACAGTAAGAAAATTTTGCTAATTTTATCTTGTGACATTTTGCTTTGTTTAGAAAGAAATGATGATTCAGATCCTGCTAATCTTTTAGGAGAGGTATGTGAGAAAAATAGTATTATCTTTCTTTACAAGAGGAACGTGCAAGCATTAATATACATCCTTGTATTTGAGCTAAACAAACCTTGAGCAGACATACACGGACTTGGACAAGCTTGAGAACAGAAAAGGAAATTCCACTAGAATTACTTCAGACTTCTTAGGTTTTTGGTTTTGTTTTCATTTTAGGAGGAGTTTTTGACCATGTACAATCTCCCCTCAACCTACTCCTACCTAAGTTATCTGGCAATTTTGAGTTCCTTAATCTGCAAGCCAACAAAGTCCACTGCTTCAAATTCTTTTCTGTCAGCCGTAGCACGCTATGATGTGCCTCCTGGAAGCACATGCTCTGACTGTTTGTCCATATGAGTTACTTAAACAAATTGCCTTCCTTTTGTATAATGTGCTGAAGCTAACGGCAGCTGAGACTGTTCACTTATGGCACAGCACCCTGAAGCAATATTATAAATATAGCTTGAGTTGAGTGTGAGGTGTGATCCTGTGTTCGTTGTGCTCAGTGTAACATTTGTGGGCTCCTGGGAAGAGGCCACCTACTCCAGCACCTTGGGAGTTGGTAGGAAGGAGTCTTCCACTATACAAGACCATTCCTGCTGCAGTTTGACCAGTGCTGCTCGAGTGACTGAAGGGCACTTTCCTGATAGGTGGATCTACGCTGTCCTGATTAATTTAAATTAAGTAAAGGAAATCTGGGCTTATTCAGAGTGCTCTTCCCAAGTCCCACAAGACTCAACACTCATTAAAACAAGCAACCCCCCCAAACTTGCACTGGAATAATGTTACCATTCCCATTTTCCCATCTACAGGGACAGTGGTAAGATTAGGGGCGACAGAAAGGAAAGCACTTCCACAGCACACAACACAGACATCAGCACTGGTGGGCAGGCATGTGGCAGGGAGTGAGGTGCTTTGTTTTGGTGTCTTTTTGTCTCCTGAAGCTAAACCTTTCCAAGAGACTCCAACAAGAGCAGTTTAGAAGATAAACTCAAAGGAATGAAGGAGTAGCTGCTATCTGGTTTCCACATTCGTACAGACAGCTCCTTACTCCCTATTCATAGACACATAAATGAAGGTCACTGTCCTGCTTACTTTGTGATTTTATCACACAGCTAAATATAATGAATGTAACACCTTCCTTTTTACAAAATTCAAGGTTAGACAAATGGTCATGGAAATAAGCATATATTCTACCTAAGGCCAGTTTTCAGCATTATTATGCAAAACAAAAAGTGTCTTATACTTTGGATACACCTACGGTAATCAGCCCAAGAATCTGAAAATCAAAGGATTTCTCAAGATGAGTAAAAGTATGTGCTCTTCAGAAGCTTCAAGTTCTAGCCTACAGTTTGGTGCAATTCTGGAGGTCAGATTCTGAGATTCTGCTTCTGCAATTCCAGCTGAGATGCACCCAGGTATTCAATGGTTTGTTTCTTGAAAATAAATACAATTGCCCAGAGAACTAGACACATTCCCCATTAACTCAGGAAAACATTTCTGTCTTGCAAGAAATGTCTATCAACAGAAGTTAATTTACTGATTTATTTTGTAAACACTGTGTTTTAACAAAAATGCAAGCCTGATACTGGAAATTAATGATTTTTGCCTTGCTAAATGTTGAGCCATATACAGATTAGTTTTATGAGGCTTCCATCACAACAAAAGGCCCTTTTTATTAATGGCTACTTTATCATTTAAAACATGTATGTTTAGTTACTTAAAATGGCAAATTGCTTTGCACTGTCCTTGAAGTGCATTGCATAAATATTGTATTAAAGCCTTAGCTTACACTTCATAAATAATTTATTTTTAAAACACTCTTCCATGAGACCACCAGCTGCCGAGATGTTCAATTTTCTGGTAAAAACATGTATTTATTGCAAGTCTTATTTTAACTTGTTGAAGATTTGCTAACAGCCACATGTGATAGATGTTTTAAGAATTGCATTCAAACTAAAACCTCAGAAAGCTAAAAGCCTAATACTCCTAGTAGGTTTATACCTTTGCAGAAGCAGTTTCAGTTGAAGGAAGAAAAGCTGAAATCTATTAAAGGAAGCTTTCAAGTACAATTATCTGAAAACCTGAAAATGACATAGTATATTTTGTGATCATCAGAAAGTTTATAGATTTCATTACATTTCATTTTACTACAGTCCTCTTTATGCCATTTCCATTTCATGTTCCTGCATTTAAACTGCTGTACAAACTTGTTCAAAGTGCTAGACATTAAAAAAAAAAATCAAAGGAAATTTCAGATAATTAACTTTGATGAATGAGCATATTTTAATTCATGTCTGGTAATATTCTTGTTAATGACATGTCTGCTTAGGACATCCATTAAAAGTCCATTAACTTAACAGGGAAAGTCTAATAAAGTTATCCTGGAAATTTTCTGGTATATTAACATTATGGACTTTTAATGAATATCTGCTGTAGGAATTGCTATTAGCAAGGCTACCATTCTAATTAAACATAGGCTCTAAGAGAGTGAAAAAAACAGTATGAAGATAATAACAAGCAGAAGTAGCACTTTTTTTGAAAATTACTATAAGGGAAATTGGTACAGGTTGCAAGACATGCTATCAGTAACAGCTATAAATTACTACATTGTGGATATTTTTTTTGTAGCCTGCCACCCAATATACCCATATCAGGTACTTCCTTCATGTAATCAACTGCTGAGGCTCCCATTTACTCCTGTATTGTTGAGACTGAGCAGTACTGAAAGGCTAGCTAGGCCTTTCAGAAGGGTGGAAGATACAAAATTTAAACACAGTTTTTCATGACAACACAAAGTAAAAAGACTGCTTAGGAAAGCTGTTACCTAGGGCAACCAGCCTTGTTATCAACCCATCTGAAGCTTTATCAAGTCCTGATACATTTCTGCTGGCATTCACAGTAATAGAGCAAAAGATCGTTTTATATATATAGATCTTTTTATATATACATGTATATATCTTTTTATGTATATGTATAAAACAAAACAACCCCTGATATACCTATTTTTTCATACTTATCCTTCACCAGATCTTCCAAACCAATCATTTTCCAGAAACTGTCATCCCAACCTCCATCTGAAGTGTATGTCCACTTGCACACTACTGTACAGAGTGACCTAGAAAAGAGACAATATAGGCACAGAATCAGGAAACTTAACACATTTGGTTTTAAACTTGTGACTAGAAAGAAGTTTGTGTAAAATGATCTCTTCATTCACTGGTCAAAAATTCCAAGCATAATGCTAACTTTAAAAAAAAAAATTGGTTACTGTTTGGAGTACACGTCTTGAGACACCTTAAAAGGACCTTATGTTTAAGATTCTCCTCTGCTGAAACAACTCCTGGGCTGGCCACTTCATTGCATAAATCAGTCAAATAACAGGCCACACATATGCCCAGAAGACAGCATAGCGTGAATATAACAGCCTCTTCAGCAAGCAGCTCAGAGAAAGATTCCTGCTTCTCTAGGCTGTACCTAAATAGCAATGTTTTGCACAGAGTATGTCCTTAGAAAAACTTTCTATTAGTTACGTTCAAGTTGAATTACAATTTATAGAAGATAATGTATGCACTGATAATTAGGTTAAATGGTACTGCTTCAACACCTGCAGGTACAAAATGCCTTTATCAGGTGAATGTGTACAAGCAAAACTGCACCCAGCTACCAGAGCTACTGCATAGCATGTGTTCAAGTACCACTGTCATTAGGTCTTTCAGCAGAAGCTGATGACAATTCAGTGACATGCTGAAACAGCATTAGCCATGAAGCAACTGAGTGCAATATTAAGTTCTTCTTTCAAGTCTCATTCCAGATAAGCTGATGCTGATCATCGCTGTGACAGTACGACATCACTAGGACAGACTACAGAAGCAGAATATAAACAAAAGAGAAAAGCACTTGCAGAAACATCTGTCATAACAAACAGAATGTTTTTCTCCTAAAATGATCACTATCCCAACCTCTTACTCCCCCCAAAACATGAATAACGTTCCTGAAGATTTAGTGTTACACACTGTTTTCTGTCTGAACACTAAGAATCATCTCAGAAAATATGTATTAAATTGTGCTTGAAAAGTCCAAAAACTAAAAGGTATTTTAAATGCTAAATACCACTGAAAATTTCAGCTGCCTGTAGTCTTGGGAATACTACTGTACCATCAAGTGCAAGGCATCTTGGATAGAACATCTCAGGGAAACACACCATCATAGCTGTTCTCAAAGAGAAAGCCCTTTCAGAGATGGTTTTTCTTTCATGTCTTACAAGACAGCTTATTTGTGACTAATTTTTAGCCAAGGTGAGATTTCACAGACATATTCTTTTTATTAGGATGTTACAATTTGATCATGTATCTTCAAAGCAAAATTAATTTTACTGAAGCATTTGACTTTATCTTGTGGTTTTGCATAAGTAAAATCCAAACAAAATTCCTGTCTACAAAAAGTATTTTTTGAGTTAAAGTAAACCTTTCCGTTCATCCAAGTGAACTACCTAGGGACCTAAATAAGGAGAATTAAACTGTAAGTCTTATTATTGTATTACATATTGTTACTTTTCTTACCACAACTCCTAGGAAAACCGAGCACTGGACAATGACCCCACCATCTACAGCTGAAGAAAGAAGGAAGATTGCTGACTTCAATAGACTTAAATATAAGACAGCAACATAGCTGATAGTCAGATACAGTGAGGTGGTCTCAAAGAATGTCACACATATCAGCACCTATAACCCATCCCTATAAAACACCATCAAACCCAATCAGATACTCAAAATACTAAGTATTCAGTCAAAGGGAAATACAAAACTTCACATAAAATACTGGCTGCTAGTATAGATCCCATTGCAGTTTCCCTATCTAGGAAAAGTATAGCATTTTATTTTACAGTTGTAGCATAAAGCATGCAGTAAATACTAAAGAATCTGGTCTTTTTGAAAAAGATGCCACTTAGGGAATGGATTCTGTTACCTTCAAGCTTGACAAACTTCCTTGTCATAGTATCCCGTTCATTTATATAGAAATACCTCACAAACAAGGCAACAACGAGTGCCCCCCCTCCATTAAAACATAGTAACAGAAACTAGAAAGAAATCAACAAACAGAAAAGGAGAAGCTATTTTTACTTAATATTTACAAATCAAAGCTAAGGCTTCTACTCACTGATACTGTACACACAGTAAAGTCAAATAAGAACAGGAAGAGCCTTTCCACACAGCTGGAAAACTATCTGGAACTCAGTTTCATCTTGTTTTGGGGGTTTACAATGAGAACCAAGAACGTACAAGTGAAGGCAGGATTCTCACAGGGTGGGACAGCTAAAGGCCCTATCCTCAGTGTAAATCCTCTAATGTGACACGGGGCAGAAAACCAGATGATTATATGGACTCCCCGTACTTGTATTTTCTCATCCAGGACAGAAATTTATATTTTAAATGCATCATTTTTCACTTCATTCTGTTCTTTGGAGTGACCATGTTTTTACAACCAGAGGACTGATGATGTTCATTTGGAATGTTGCTGTTTAACAAGGTGCATTGCTTGCCCTTTGCAATGAGAGAATTTATTAACATCACACATTTTGGGGAAAAAAAAAGAAATAGAGATAACTATTTAGATCTTTATAAATACTGTGGAGATTATTTCAGGATTACTCTTCAAAAAAATTTTAAAACACATATACACCATTTAAAAAAAAAAAACAAAAACAACAACAACAACAACAGCAATAACAACAAGACAACAAAAACCCAACGGTTTAAGAATAGATCAGACGATTACAATTCAGTGTCTGGTTTGAAAACAGAAAAGCACATGACCTGTAACTACAGCAATTACAATGTTGATATAAGAAATTCCAATTTCCAAGGATTTAAAAGCCAGTCATGGAAATCTAATTAGGACCTTTGACAAAAACTGGGTGAATAAATAAATTCTAGGCTGAAGAAAATACTGGGAAAAAAATAAACATTTTCTCCAAATAAGCTCAAACCTCTCATTAAAAGGGAAAAAAAAAGACAGTGTATTTGAAATAAAGATCATTTCATCACTTTAGGAAAAATTTAAAGAGTGAAACAGTAAATCATCAAGCCTTCCCAAATATGGTAAATACCAAATCATAACAAATTACCATCAGAACCGAACATGTATTTTTCTAATTAGATCAATGCTATGAACTACTGCCACACCCTGAAAAATGCTCTAAGGATGACAGCTAAATGTCATGGCTCCCCACTTTCAAAGATCACAAAGCAACTCACTCTGAGTCTTCATGCTTATCCAAGGAGAAACCAGAGCCACCTTGCTGGACTCTAAAGAGCATGTTTTAAACAGGGGCCAATTCTTCTATACAGCTCCCGCTGAGGAACACCACGTCACATCTACAGGCCCACTGACAGTGTGAACAGGCCAGACCAGCCCTTGCCAATCCACTGAGTTCCAGTGTATTGGAGCTCTCTTACTGGATATGGCTGGACTGAACATACTCTACAGTGAAATGGTAATGGGGCTCTGAGCATTTTCATCCTGCTTATGTAGATTTATAAATGCAAAATGCTTACAGAAAAGGGATAAATAGATTAATTCTGGTAAAATTTTTAATACAATATCGAAAACATGAAGTGCAAAGGACACCTCTTCCCAAATGAATTAACTGGCAGATCTGTAAGTGGAAGGTTCTGATATAAAAATCAACCTCAGATCTAAGCTAAAACACTAACCCATTCTGTGGGTTGGTTTTTATTTTCATGGCCACAACAAGAACCTCAAAACACTTGTTCTAAGTGCAGTCTGAGCATTTACACTTCTCTGGGATTTAAACTCCTTATTCTACTATTGCCACCACTCAATCGCCACCTAAAAAGTACATGTTTAATTGAACAACATAGTATTATAAAACCCCTTAATATCTAAGAGAAAGTATTATACTGCAGAAAGGCATTCTGGTCTCCTAGATAATAGTTAAGAAAAAAGGATTTCTTTGAGATGCCTGTAATGACAGATTAATTTCACTACATGCTTCAAAAGAACCTGGATGAGTTGAACTCAAATCCCTGCCACTTACCTAATGAGGTGCTTTAATAATTAAACACAGCTGCTCAATTTGTATATCCTAAAGAGCTGTATGCACATGTAGATAGAGCAGTTTGTTCATGGTTTTTCGCCTTTGAATACCAATGGCATCAATATATATTAGCTTTATGGACAATTGCTCAGAAATTCTCCTCCAGAGTATCACCCTGAGAAAGCGATAGCATGACTTGTAACTTGGAAAATCTGTATCCAGAAAGACATTATGGTAAGGAGGAAAGCAAAGAACCAAATCATTACACCTACAAAGAAAGAATCAACTACTAGAAAACTTTGTATTTCACAGCAATTCCTAAATTGTATGAGATGAAAGGCAGGCATTAAACAGAAACAGTACTGATATTCACTGTGGTGTATTCCCTTTTTCTGAACTACTTGCCAGTATTGACTCAATTATTTGGTCATAAACACCAGACTTTCACTAGCTGAAGCTGGATGAACCAGATGGATAGAAGCAAATGTTCCCCTTACTTTACTACCAGGATCAACTGGGTTCAAAGGTGCTGAGTTAATAGGCAGTCATCTAGGCAACTGCCTAATCTAATGCAGGACTTGAGAAGACATGGTGCGGAACCCCTCAGTAGCATAGGCCATATTTAGCTAGGCTGAAATACCATGAATTTGAAAACTGTTTTCCTCAAGCATATTCCAAATACAATGAAATGAAAGATTTCCTTTCTCTGTTCAGAACAAAAAGTTTTACTTAGAATACTCCTACTGAAAAAAAACAATCCCTCTGCATGGAAAATTTTTATTTTATTTAAACCAGATTTTCAACAGGAACATGATTATGTTTAGAGTTTCTTACAAGTTCTAGTCTAAAAAGAACTATAGGATCCTACTTGCATCCAACAGCCTCAAGAAAAAAAAAAAAATCCCTGCCACATTCATTACAAAGTAGATTTGGCTGGGCACAGCATATTACACAAGCCTTTCTATTACTGTCTGGCTCTTGAGTTTTTGCACATCTCTTGCAAAAACTGACTGTCAATGTGCTGAAGCCCTGTATGACCAGAATCTCAGCATTCTGAA